CTAGTACTGTGTTTCCGCGAAAATAAAACAGGGTCTTTTATTTATTTTTTCTCAAGATGACACCCTAGGGCTTATTTTCAGGGGATTTTTTTTAAGTACGGTACAACAATCTACATTTATTCAAATATAGTTAAGTCATCTTCTTCTGGAACATCATCATAACTCTCCAAACCCCAAATTTCAACCTGAATTTCTTGAAACTCTTTCCTTTAGAACCATTGGCCCCAATAATTTGTGATCCCAGCTACTTGGAAGGCTGAGGTGGAAGAACTGCTTGAGCCTAGGAGTTTCAAGCTGCAGTGAGCCTGGGCAACAAAGACCTCTTCTCTTAAAAAAAAAAAAAAAATGAAGATCTAAGAATACTGAATAGATATGTTCAACTTATTTTTTTTTGATGTTTCTGTTTAAAAATTAAGCCTAAATTAAACCTTTAAGATCATCTTGTACCAGGGATGGTGAAACAGTGAGTTCCCCATAAAGCACACACAAGGTGACTTCAAATCAGTAGTAAAAGATTTGGCAGAGTAAGCCTTAATATTAGAATAAAATAAAAATCCTATTGAATCTGTTTTTAAATTATTCAGTGATTCTGAAACAAGTTTGCACTGGTCAGCATGACTGGGGCCATAAATAATGTTTCCATTTCTGATGTGTGTTAAACACTGCCTTGAAGTGAGTTTTAGAAGAAGCCAGTCCCACTCCTTTCTACTGTAACATCTTGAACAAGACTAAGGTGATGATCACAGATTATCCTATTTGCATTTTAACTCAGGGCCAGATTAAGACCTTTAGAAGTTCTAAACACAAGAGACTTGTGCCCTGCCCTCTCCCATGTACTTAAAAATAACATTAAATCTAAATCCACCAAAGATGACTAAAAAAAATAAAAAATAAAAATAAAAAAAAATAACATTAAATCATAAAATAATTATTCGAGTCAGTTCAACAAAGTTCTGATTTCCTCCCATGCTACCTGGCAGCTTTTTTTGTGTGGAGAGAAAAGGGTATGGGGGAAAGAACTGTCAGATATTTTAAAGTTTTATATTTTGGGAGTCTCCTCTGCTTTATTATACTCTAAAACAGCTTCTCTCAACTAAGATTCCTTATATGAACCACATAAGGACTATTTTCTCATTTCTCCCAAGGATGGTACATAACTAGAAACACTGTATGTGCACAGAAGAGTTAATTTGTAACTCTGGATGCCTAGGATATTAGAACTGTATTCTTTCATGGATTTAGTTTGTCTATTATTAAACAGTAATCTAGCTTTGTTGAGATCTAGCCCCTCCCTTTCTTCATCCCCCATTGGGGGGGCTTTGCCTTATGGAGATAGGGCAGGTGTCTGGCAAGTATACTAATGGTTGAGAACAGTCAACACTGTAATGAAGCATTATGTTAATGATTAAGTTCACAAGTGCATAGCCTGAGTGTCTGGGTTCAATCCTAGCTCTGTGACCTTGGACATATGTACTTTCCTTTTCTTATAAAAGGAGAATAATAGTACTTACCTAATGCTATTGTATTAAGTGAATTACTGTATTTTCTTTAAAGTATTTGGGATGGTGCTGGGCACATCCTAAGCACTGAGTAAATGTTAGTTGTTATTGTTTAATTCATGTGGGAGACTGTTTAATTCATGTGGGGACTATAAAATATTGTGACCTACCTGGATGAGAGTTGTATGTGTGGGGAGGAATAGTGCCTCCACTATTTTATTAATATCACAATTGTATTGCAATACCTTAAGGAGAATGACTTTTCCCATTGTACTTTTTCTGTATTTTCTAAGATTTTCAAAATGAGCAAGTATTACATATCTAACAAAAGGAAAAATTGGAACTGTCAGCTGGTGAATCTCATCCTTCCTAACTAACGCAGATCTAAAGTTAAAGAGAAAAACAAGCTTAGTGATTTGCCTTATGCAATTCTCTTCTGGAATTCCTAGTATTTGGATTAAGGCATAATAAACAAGATATCAAAAAGACAATGTGCTTTATTGCTTGAATCTGAAATAAAATGGAGAATAAAGCTTTGATCCATAGCAAGAATAAACAGTCATAAGGGGAAAGGCACAAAAGAGATTTTTCCTAGGAAATGCATGGAAAGGGAAAGGAAAAAGTGACCTGGAGATCAACCCTTGATTAAACCCATATTCCAATAGAAGACTAAAGTCTTTAGAAAACAATGTGGGAAAGATCAAAAAGTTTAATTGTTGGTGAGGGAAGGAAACAGGAACTTTCATACAATGCTAAAGGGAATGTAAATGGTATTGTAGTAATGTTGGCTCCTCTTTATAAGGACCCAAGAAAGAAAAGTTTCTAGCATTTCAGTATTAGAAACCATTGTGTTTCACCTGAGAAACTGATTTGATTTTAATGACATCTGAAAATCATGTAATTAATCTTCTCTCTTTACATTTGGCTGCTTAAAAGTTCAGTGAATTTGTATCCTAACACTTAACTACAGAAATGTATAACATATATTGTACGTATAAACTTCATGCCTGCCTTCATGTTATTTCTTATTTTATGGTGTTATAGGCAATTTTACACATTGCCTTAATTTAATAGGGTGTGTTATAAATTAAAAGTTCAGATATATAAAGTGGTGTGCTTGAAAAAAATGAAAGGACCTTTTTAAGATATAAAACTTAGTTAAGATAAAGTCAACTCAGGGAAATCCAGTTAAAAGCCAAATAAAGCTGTATTTTTATACTGTACAAAAGAAAATTTACATTCTTAATGTAGCTAGATACATCTGGGGGAAATTACACATCTCTCAAGAAACACAATATTTAACATCTTAGATATGTTTCTGCATTGAAGACTGATATTGAATTTTATACATCTTTATTTACATTAACTTAAAATATTTTTTCATCTCTGGCAGATATTTACAAAGTCAACAGTGACTACTACATTTCACATTTCAACAATCAACAGCATTAGTCAATTCAGTAAGACAGGATAATGGTTTACATGCACCAATAAGTATGATCTTAAATGTGTGGTTTTTTTCTTCAGTTCTGAAAAAAATGAAGGTTCTTACTAGTCCTACGTTGAAAGAACATCACTCAATAGAGGTCATAATTTCTATGTGCCTATCCTATTTAAATTTTTACCAGCACTATTCGTGGAATACTTGGAAAGTTTATACCAAGCTATAGGTTGATGCTGGTAAAAAAAAAACAAACTGATCTGTACATTCCATATCCTTTTATGAGGCAAACATGAAAGTAGGATATTTCCTGTTTGCTTGTCCATTGCGACACATTAGATTACATAATGCCAAAGCAATAAAAATCCTTCAGAAACTGTACCTCAGGAAAGCCAAATTATCATGAGAAAAATAGTGAGAAAATAATCTTTGCACCTCCCTGTTTTACTTAACCAGTTAAACTGAAGCCAGCATGATTTTTAGAATAAGAATAAAAAAGATTCAATGTAAAGTAGATGAACTTATTACAAATATTTTTAAACACTACATGGAGCATGGAGCACAGCTCAGTTCAGTTTGGATGATAAAACTTAAAAACAAAAAAACAAAAACCACCCCAAACTAGTATCAGTGGTTGTTAGAAAGTCAATCTTCTTTTTCCCAGATAGTTAATCAATATATTCATTACTTTTTCCCTACCAACTAATATGAAACAATAATACACAGAACCTGTTTGGAACATCAGTTAATATACAATTATATTTCATGATTCCCCCCAAAATAATTTTTTAACAGTTTAAAAGCTTTATTCTTATTGGTCCATACATTTTTAAAACAAGTATTTTAGCTTTTCTTAACCTAATCATGTTTTTCTGCAAAGAAAAAGACACAGAGTGATCATGTACATAAATCATGTAAACAAACTGTACCAGTTTAACCAATATCATACTTATTAGAAATAATTGCCATTGCCCATTGAAAAAGGTGCATTTCCACAATTTCCCCCTCAATTTTACTTAAAAAACCCACAATATTACACAGTATACCAATTTTAGGAACTTCCCTCTTTTATTCAATACTGATGAGCAGAATACTTTGAGTTAAGGAGACATGAAAATGTGCCATAAGAAATAATATTTGGACTTAACCTTTAACTGGTAGTTTTGGAATTATAAAATATTGACATTTTACTGACATAAGAAAACTTCAAATGGAATCTTTTAGCTACTGTAAACCTATTTTTCAGGTCAAAGAATCTTTTCATATTCCCCCAAGGTTAAAAAGCAATCCTTTAAGGTTAAAGGGGTTTCATTCCTTAATGGTTTGGTACTTTAAAAATTATATTTGGTAGATAAATTTTCTTTGGTAAATTGTGTAATCAATGCAGATGTAAAGAATTTCCTCTGATACAACCCACACTGAGCTGTTTACACTCAAATGCAGAAAATCAGATTAATATCAATTCTGTAGTTGGGAATGGATTATCTAATTAAGTCACTTCTCTTTGAAAATGAAAGATTCTTTATTAGACCTGCCTCCAGATACAATTTTTAAAAACTCACTTATACTTTTAAGCTATGCTTCTTTTTTTCTTTTTTTGTGACTCACTCTGTTGCCCTGGCTAGAGTGCAGTTGCGTCATAACTAACTGCAATCTCAAACTTCTGGGCCCAAGCAATCCTCCTGCTTCAGCCTCCGAAATAGCTGGGACTACAGGTGTGCCCAGCCAATTTTTCTATTTTTGGTAGAGACAGGGTCTCACTCTCACTTAGGCTGGTCTCAAACTCCTGAATTCAAGTAATCCTCCCACCTCAGCCTCCCAGAGTGCTAGGATTACAGGCATGAGCCACTGTGCCTGGCCCCACTTACTCTGTTTTTGTAAAATGAATATTAAACATAATAGTAGACATCTCTGAATATGCCTTAATTTGTAAACATGATTAACATTTTCTCAAAACATAGACCCTACATTTCTGTACTATGTTGCCAGTTATTTCACATCATTCCCAGCTTTCGGCTAACTTCTATCCTGAATTGTTTGCTGTTGTATATATTTCTTATGGGACTAATGGCTAAGGTTACAAAAATACTGAAGAGACTGAAATTACGAAAATTTTGTGGTTGTGTGGTTAGGTTTAGAAGGAATATGCCTATATGGGTGGGGAGGTTGAGTGATGATGACTTTTCTATGAATAGTATATTTCCTATATCTGCTCAGTGCCAGTATGATATATCCTTCAGGTACACACAAAGTAATACTAAAATTTATGTCTTACATTATCAGTATGACCACCTAAGCATGGAAAATTTTACCAATCTGGTGACTCATTATGATTTTATTAGCACTGTTAACAACTTAAAACTACATTCCATCTTCTTATAATCTGGCAGTATTCTTAATTTTTTAAGAGTTTAAGTTATCTATTTCTAGTTGATTTTCAAACAACTTGTTTCTAAAAAGCACTTTTAAAAAATTAAAATATTACAAACAAATGTCTCAACCAACTTAGTGGTGAAACAATGACAATAATCAAACTTGAAAGATAAAAAATCTCATGTTCAAACTGTTTAACATAGCCATACTATAGAAAAATTGCCCTAAAATTCTTAGATTTTCTGAACACTGGCATGACTTATTAAACTTTTTAAAACTGAAAAACAAATATGTAACTGAAATACTGATTTTTTTTAAAACAAAACAGAACTTACTCTGTCATCCAAAATCAGAAATGGAGAGATCCTCCTTGCCAGTGTTCATATAAATAGGATACTAACCCTAAAGACAAGATTAGAGGTTTTTTTATTTACAAATGAAGATGCAGAAAATTAAATGAGACAACTGATTGTCAACAACTAAAGTACTCAAAAATGGACCCATACAAACCTCACAAAGTGAGATAGGAAAAACATCCCACTTAATTAAAATATTCACAAGAGTAGTGCAAACAAAACAATCTGAAAGGTTATTCTCAGTATTCCAGTGTCTAATAAATAATTATAATTTAAAGCTACTAAGTGGAATTTGAGAATACAGGTTGTAAATAACGAGCTTATATAGCTGAGACTACCGCATTTAAGACATTTTACATGGTATATACACTTTACATGACATATGGTTATAGTTCCATTATGGAATCATAAGCTTCACACTGTAAACCTTTTTCAGTCACATAAGGAAATATTGCTTGTATCTGCTCTAAGCATAAGATTCAATCTCTCTTTATTAGAAATTGACAGGATCAAATTTATTTAATCTTTACTCTCCAATATCCCATTGTGCAATATTATTAATTTGCTGCCTTGGTGACCGAAAGCTGGCTGATTCAAAAATTACTTTAAAATAGCTAGGAACACTGATCAAAGCCAATTATTTCATTGAGTTTATTTTGCACTAAATAAATCCTCAGACATGTAATTAACTATAAAATGGCAGCATACAACTGTTGTGTGGCAGAACATAGTAAGGCATAAATTAGAATAAAGAATAATGTATCTACCCATCTATCCTTACTTCTGTATAGATAACATTTCTAACACTTTCTCATCTATATTTATTACTCTTTTTTCTGGATTTAATACTTTTCTTAATATGTTGTATTCAGCAACTACTAGGAAGAAATGTAAGGAATCTACAGAAATGGAGTGTGTTATGTACCACATTTATCACAGTATGCATAAAAGGAGACAGAGGGTTTTAATATGCATGTGACAGGAAACTGGGTTTAATTCTGGCTCTGTTTTAGTTATGTGATCTTGATCACATTACAATTAGCCTCAGTTTCCTGAGGATGAATGTGGGGTGGGGAGGGGGTGTGGGAGACTAGCTAGATTATCTCTAGGGTATCTTCTAGCACAAACATTCTGATTCTATAATAAATAGGCACAGAAGAGTGAATTGGAAAGGTATGGGTGGTGGTAGAGATCAAAATTTAAAATTATAGCCATTTTCCCCCCAGCTTTTAAAAATATTTTCATATTTAAAAATCTTAATTCTAAGTTAATTTTAATTTTACATTTTAGTTTGCTTTCTAATAATTAATGTCATAGAAAAGAGTTCCCAAAACCTTCAGATATTTTTTGTATTCCTTAATCCAACCTGGCATAGATGGCATCAACCAAATCGTTTTATTATAGAAAACAAGTATTTTCTCCCTAATATCTTTTCTATAGATGGGTAGGCTTTTTTATGGAAGTATAAAACAAAAGGTTGTTAAAGGATGAAGTATGAATATTGCTGGCATATATTTGTAAGAGCTGTTGTATATGAGAAGTAAAACTTTTTAATTAAATGCCCGTAAGTAATGCAAATGCCTATCAAAAATCTCTTAGAAAATTTGACTTCCAGTTTATTAAACTAACTCATTCCATTTTAACTCTATCTTGCATAAGAAATCTATTCTAAGACCCTGAATGCAAAGTTTAGACTAAATGAAATGTTTCTTAATTACATCCAAATCATATCACCTAAAAGGATTAAAAACAAATGTTATTCAGTCATGAAACATTAATGAGTATGTATACATACAAACTATAATATGTATACACAGATAAATGAAATCGTCTAAGATGAAAATTATTTAAAACCAACTTTTTAGGTATAATGTATGATTTCTAACCAAAGGAAAATTTAGTTATATTTATTAACAGCTTTTGCTGTAATTTGGTATTATTTGGTATTTCTTTTGTGCTTCAACTAAAATCATGCTAGATTTAGATGCCAATAAATGCACAATTTGTTGAATTAAAAACAGTCCTTTAGCATCCTAAATAAACCAGGAATTTTCTGCCATAAAGTGATTAACTTCCAGCCAAAGCCAAGATCTTACTCCCAGGTAAGTACAATGCTTCTTTCCTTACATACCTGAAACTCTGTCATCCTTACCATATCATAGACCTTTACACCTCATTTATTTTGGCTGTTTTTAAATTCTTTTCATTTAATTGACATCCAACGCATATCTAAAATATGTCTCTGTGATATATACATATACACATCATATATACACACACACACACAAAATCAATAAATTGTCTATTTATCAACTTTTATCTTTACCCCAGACTTTGGCAATGTTGTAGATACTAGTTCAGGTTCTATTACAGTTTTACATTTTCACATGAGCTGAAAAATGTTACAGATTACTAAATTCAAACAAGCATCTCATTATTCTTATAAAGATTCTAACAGAAAGTCCCACTTTAAAAAAAATTTCTTATAGTAAATGAAAGGAGAGAATTTTTAGGTATGAAAAAAACAAGAGGCATTTTTCTGTTCATTTATCAAAATCTATTGTAATTTTAATTGGCAGAGATAAAATTTTAAACTTTGTTAATTAGGAGAATACTTGCTTTCTATAAATTCAGTATATTTTTCTTTCACAATTATAAAGTAAAAACATCTACATGTACAAAGCACTAATAGCTCTGATGTAGTTTGTGGAAGGATAACTTATAGCAGTTCAAGTCACAATACACTGATTTTTAAAAACTGAATATATTCCCTTCTTTTTCAAACATTAGCGCCTGAGACTCAGAAGAGGTTATAATAAAATCTTATTCAACCAAATCAGAATTATTTTTTTTAACCAATAATGTATTTTCTTTCTTTCTTTCTTTTTTTTTTTTTTTTTAGCCTTTCAGCAGTTACCAAATGCTACTTACATACATTCAACATCTAGCTTACTGGCATGATTTCAAAGTTTTATAAAAATGAGAAACTTTGCAGATATATGATTAGAGTGTCCACAAATTGCATTACATTAAACACAAAGGCAGTGTGGTCCTTGTAGGAGAAATCAAGTCAGTACCCCCTGGTAGAAATGTTTAAAAAAAAAATGTGTCACATGGCATCAGTGTTTTCAGCCAATTATCTGTCCCTGATATGTTTCATTGGAGTATGTGATCTATCAGGTCTTCAGGTTTCTTAATCCAAAATATCTGACTGAATTTAGATACATCTAGAAAGCAGCTGAAAGGGTTTCTCTAATAGTCTGACATCACAGAAAGTGGATTGAGAAATCCCTCTCTTTACCTGAAGATGTACTATTCTACTTCAGTCATTATCAGTTCACAAAGGAAAAGAAAAAACCAATCAAAACCCCCTCACACATACAATCCCACACAAGCTAAACAAAAACTACCCCTCCCCCCACAAAACCCCAGCACCAAAGTGTCAATCATTCCTGGGAAACAACTTGCCTCTTGGATTCTCTGATTTGTTAGTTATTCAAATTTTAAGGACAGAAATGACCTTATGTCCTTGTGGGGAAGAGGGAAGACATGTTAATAATGACTATAGAGCCACTGAGAAAGTGCATTATCAATCACACAATCAACTTAGAGCCCTGCCCTCCAATGGAGGTGGTCACAACTTGATTTAAATGCCTCTGTAATTGAACATTTATGTCCTTGGGATAAAGGAGATGGGGGAAAAAAGAGCTACCCTCATTTTAATGAAAAAGAGCAGCAATCTACCACCTTTCCCCTGCTTTTCCAGAATATGATTGCACAGACTCAGAGAAGTCCAAAGTCATAGCAGAATCTCTGAGGCACTCCTGGTTAAGAGAGAAAAAAATATGATCCAGTAATCTTCATAGTTCTATAGATTATGAAAACAAACCCGTTTTGTTTTGTTTTTAAGCAAAAGCCAAAGAATCATTTCATAGGGATCATATACACCATTTCCTCTTATGTACCCTCAGTCTCACAGTGTTGAAATGGGACCGATCAGCCTACGATGGATTGCACATCACCCAAGGAGAAAGGAAGGCATGGAAAAGGCAAACATTTTATACTGCTTCACAAACAAATTTACAAGGAATAGGTGAAGAGAAGGTATAGGAAGGAGGGAAAAGAAAACCTTATTGCTGTTTCCATACAAAATACAGTATGAAGATACCTAAACTAAATCAAATCTCATTACGATGACCAGTATTTTCACAATGTGGGATGAAGTGTCTTCTTACACAATGAAATATGTTCAGTTTAAAAGGTAAGCAGAAAGAGAAGAGAGGATGTCAAAACTACACCTGGGATATTAGCTGCATATTAAAACTTGGGGATCGAGACTGCTTGGTTAAGGGGGCTCCTGGGCTGAGGAGCTCTTTACCTTCACCAGCTTGACCTAGCCGGTCTTCCTGTAGACTGATAGTTGAGTATCGATTAGCATTGTTAGCTGCTAAATTAGAAACTCCCTCAGTGCCAACCCCAATGCTGGTACTTGCTTGACTGCCATTTACATAGTCAAATGATTTACTTGAGGAAGCACTGGCTGTCCGGATTAGACTTAAACTATTGGTTTTTGGCACCACCTGGCCAGCAGGCAGGCTCAGGTGTTTTTTCATTGGTGTCAGCTCAACTGAATCTACACTAAGATCAGTTGGTTGCTGTACATACTGCTTGCGAACTACTGAATCTCGAGGGCTCTCACTGGATTTGATGGCAGAGGCTGTTTCTTTATCTTTGGCTGAACGCCCAGTTGCCACTTTCCTTAAGCTTCCCCTCTGAGAAGAGGAGGATGGTTTGGTCCCAATTGGCTGACTGCTGAGGGAAGCCCCTGATGAAAATCCTTCATCTGCATCATTCAGGTTTACAGACTCTTCTCCTCCATTTATACCCTCAGCACCTAAAAAAACAAATCAGACAGACTCAGCAAATTAAGAAGCAGCTGTGAATGGCAACACTGACCTTATCTCTTGAGTAATGGTTGCTATAGGTTGGCAATGGCCCTACTATCAACACTGCCCCTAAACAATTTAGAGGAATAAACCTTAATCTACACAGAATTCTAATATGCTATTCATTCTGTTCATTCAGTTTTGATTAGTGCAGCTTTTGTAAAACTATCCAGAAACATACTTAGTATACTATCAATATTTAGGTACATAGACCAATTAGGTAAAATAGATTTTGTTAACCTAAATCCTTATAATACACTCTATCATTCAGTTGAAATGACCATATTTATCTATTTAAAAAAGCAAAACTCTTCCCTCATCTTCTTTAACCTACCATAAGATAGACTGTACAAAAGAGACCCTCTTCTAACTTCAGTTACCCAGAATTATATCAAAACTCGTTTATGCATATAAGCCAAACTCTATATAATTGAAATAAAACTTTATATCTATTCAATAGATAACTGCTTTTGTATGGCTTTAAAACCTTTAAGGCAGAACTAGTAAATTGTCTAACTCAAAACTAAAAACTACATTGCTTTCAGCAACTTCACAATTATATTTTGTCTTAGGGACACATCTATTCACTGGTTTCCACATTTTCTCAATCAATTAATGTGAAGACAACATCAGGGTGCAGGGGTAGGGAACCAGCAGGGATATTTAAGAAGGATTTTTATTTTCTATATTGTGTATTTTTACAATATTTTGAACTCTCAGCATTGAGACATATTATTGTCACAATCACAAAATACTATAGTGTCACATCATATTTCATGCATAAACTGCAGTTAATGAAAGAAATCTTATCTTGGAATTTTTGTGGGAAGAAGAGAAGCATATGTAATATACTGAGCTTGTGGTTTCCAGAAAGCCCAATGCTCTTACTGAAAGTATGATCAGTAGTCTCTTAGAAAGTAATACATTTGCTTCTTTCAAAAACAGATATTGGTTTGCTACCTCATTAAATAAGTTTCCCAGCATGCAAGAAACTTTAATCTGAATCTATAAAACAGATATCAACATTATAGTTAAGGTAAAATTTTAAGAAAGAATCTAAACAAATATTACTTTGAGATACAGGTTAAATAAACAATCTTTAATTTAACATAGTACCTGGAAAAATTAAAATTTTTCTAATATGGATTATTTTCTTCTTTCTAAAGAAGAGTGAAATAGTCTGTCCTTAAAGCAAAAGGTATCTTGTTATATCCAGCAGTTTAATAATCTTTAATAATCATGCAAAGCCATATGAAAACGCATTTACTAAGAACAGTAGCAGCTGACACCACTTCTCTCAACCCCTCCAAAAGAACTGTATATAAAGTACTTTAAAATAAAAACTTTAAATTATATTCATATATCATTTTAGTAATTTACTTATAATTAGTATGAAGAACTGCAAAATACCCAAGAAAAGATAGTTATTGGTTCAGAATTGATATTATTATAGTAATATAAAACTGGAAGAGAACAGAAATGTATTGTTGGGTGTATCTATTTAATTAGAAAGGAGACTGAGAGATTTAGTGCAAGCTTCTGAATCTTGCTGCATGCAGATCTGATGCCCAAGCAATATGGCCATAAAAAAGATAACAACATAAAAGCCACCATGCAAGAGAATCTACTGATATTTTATATACTAAGCAATGCTGTTTCAATATAATGGAATACTGACTGTATTTTAATCACAGGTTATGTCCTCAGTTTAGTAATAATTTTAATTCTAGCCTTAAAAGTCAGAAACAGAATGTTACTTGACAATCAGGAGAAAAGTAGGTGATGGGCTTATAGTCTCCCTTCAATTTCTTTTTTTGTTTGTTTTTTTTCTCCCTTCGATTTCAACATATAATCAACCCAATTTGACTGTAGAACCACTTAAGTCCATTATAGAAAATGTTTTCTTTCTTTTTTTTTAAAGCCAGTAATCTATGCTAATCTAAAAACTCCAGTAGGAGGCGTTGATAGTGTAGTGGTAAGCATAGTGCCTTTTGAAAGCTCCAGCAGACTTCAGAATTATCAAAACTTTTCATAATTTTTAGTAATTTCCCTCCTGCTGTTTAAAAAGCCTCAGGGAATAAAAAGGCAACTATGTCTCAAAACATTTTTCCTTTGTAATCTTCTCCCTAGGTGACAATAATACCATTCATGATCCAAAGAGACAACTGAAATGGATTTTTAATGAACTTTTCTATTGATGGCTGGCTTTTCTCATAAATTTAGCTTCTTCTAATATTGATTTAAAAACCACATTTAATCTAGACTAAAAGGTAAAATAACTTTTTTAGAAATTTCAAACATACTCAAGAAACTTATTTCTCTTTTGTCGTGGCTATGCCATCTTACTCTCCCCACATTGAAATAAGTGATAAGAGATGTTAAAATAGAGTATTTTAATATTTAAGAGGATATTAAAAAGGAACTACTATTTTGGTTCCTTTGTTTCGAAGTGTATGACTTTCGATGAATTAGAAGAAAAGCTCCAACCGAATCCCTCACTTTCTAGAATTTCATCAACTGTTAATTAATACAGTACTACATTTAGCACAAATGATCCCAACATTCTAACAATAGTAGAAGATATACATCAAATGGCTCATTTAGTCACTAAGAATGTTGATAAATAGGCTGTTGTTCAATTTAGGCCAACTCTGGGTTCCACATGTATTCACATTCTCATTTTTATGTGTTTATACAAGATAAAACTGACTCCTAGGGATAACATAAAGGGATATATAAAGAACAAAAAGGGAAGGCTGCATCTTTCACAGCCATCTAAAGGATTTCTAAAACGCACCAACTTTTTTAGGTCCCTAGGTCATGCACATGCAACACTGTTAAATGAAGTAAGGTCAATCTGGGCAAATGGGCAAGGGAACAGAGAGTAGATTTAGATTCTTACTGAGCATGCTCAAATTTCTAATGCACCAAAGAGCAAGAGACTTCCCTAAGGTGGCAGTTAACTGCTTTATGTATGTTTGGTCTTTAAAATAAGTAAAAATATATAACCTCTTTTAAAACTACTTGGTTTATTTCATAAATTAGTGTAAAGATTCCACAGCAGCAATATATTAGATAATAAAATAAAAAAAAAAAACTATTTGGCTACAGTTCCCTGTTTAACAAAGCTAACTCCTAAGGGATTACATGCAAAACAGCAAGTAAATACTGTCCTATCAGAGAGAAGTGTTCTTTTCCAGATAGTGGTAGTGGGTTGTATGTGTAAAAAAAATTCTCATTTTGAGATACCTACATTGTAGAAACAAGGATCTACCAGAATATCTGTCCTTTCATAATATATTTCAGTTCTGTTTGGGAGCTATAAAACACAGCCTTTATTTACAATAAATTATAAAATGTAGTGCACACCAGAATAGCACATTTGTAGAGGAAAAATGTCAGTAGTTCACTAGCTAGACCTAGGCAATTTAATCTGCAGATTATAAAAAAACCAATCAATATCAGCATGCTCTGTCAAAGAGATAAAAAGTTCTTGTTAATTTAACACCCAAGGATTACAGATAAATTGGTCGGCTCCACTTCAATTTCTCAAAGATAATATACTAATATTTTAAAACTCTTTTCACAGATTTTTAAAGAATTATTATAAAGAATTTAAAGAATTAATTAATTATAAATGAAATCATTCATATTGACTAATCAGGCTCATGTCCATTGGGTGCATTTTTCTTTCCTAATGTTAGAATAAACATGCTCAGTAATGAAAAAGTTCCAAGCATTTGCAGACCTTTTGGAGACAGGCCTCTGCCTTGTTAGTAGCCATGCCAAGCTGTTCTTTGATTACACAGGGATGCAGACTTCAGGCCAGCACAAATGGCAACTAAAGATTGTATCTGACCTGGTGCTAGGCATATGGGGAGGGAGGGTGCTTTTGCAGGGAGGAGCTAATAACACCCTGGGATAGTGAAAACACACACTAGAATGGAAAGATATTCTGCTTGGGGGATAGAGAGCCAGGATCTTTCTCCAGCAACTGCCTCACTGACTTCTGCCTCCTCATCTCTGTCCTACCCTCTGTTGTGGCTGCTGCTGAGTTGGGCTTCGGCGAGCCATGCTCAGGGGTCCTGCGCACCAGCACCTCCCCCTCTTGCACACGTTTGATCCCTAGGTCAGTGGAGCCGAGTTGGATCGGGGAGCCGGGAATACTCGAGTCAGCCTCGTTTGAGAAGTCAAAGCCATCTGGGATTCAACATATAAAATTTTAGTGCTTTTGTGCTGCTCTATTCTGTTCTGAGCATTTTGACCCAGGCAGATAAGAGAATGTATATATGGATATGATATAAACACAAACACTATTTATATAATTAACATGTGTGTGCACAGCATGCACACACATAAGGCGGCAGATGAACAATGTGAGGTTTGCAAATGAATAGGACAGAAAAATTGGGATCATTAAAATGGCAATTAATATCTCTTAAGCAAGACAGCTTGACTATTCAAGTACCATATGTCAGTGAAATACTGCTGGATTCAGCACTTACAAAAAAAGGAAAAGCAAAGATAAAAATCCAAAAACAAGAATCAATTCTTTTATGAATAGCTTGTATCATACTGTTAGTTTGGCCAGTTACATAGTTTTTTCCCACAATGCTCATACATGCACCTTTTTTTTCCAGTATGGGAACAGAGTTAAAGCAACTTCTTTCCTATTGTTATTACTAGTTCAAAAACACCAAAAATTAACCTGATCTTATTTTCTGTTTTAACATTCATAAAGCAGCCTAAATAACATCTTTCTAATTTATAAATATACATACATTTATTTAAAATAACTTTAGGCACTTAATCACGTATCTAGTGCTATTTTTAAAAACTGAAAAATTGTATTAATACTTTAATTATACAGAGTCCTATAATATCATGTGCTAAAACAGTCTGTAAAAACAGTGATAAATTTACTTGAATTCATGAGTAGACTATGGGGATTTTGCACTCACCTTCTCTCCTCCATCTATGACGACGGATTGAAGCTGTTGTAATTGCAGTCCGAGAAATCCTCGGCACTGTTGGAGTGACTTCCACTTTAAGTACTTTCTGGCCTTCTTGTGAAGAATCAGGAGCATCAAATGGTAATGAGTTTTTCATGGCATTAGCAACCTAAAATGATAATATAAGCCTATACAAATTAACAACCAATATATAGGCTTTGTTTTTTTTCTGAGACAGAGTCTCACTCTGTTGCTCCGGCTAGAGTGCCATGGCATCAGCCTAGCTCACAGCAACCTCAGACTTCTAGGCTCAGGCGATCCTCTTGCCTCAACCTCCCAAGTAGCTGGGACTACAGACATACATCACCACGCCTGGCTAATTTTTTTTTCTATATATTTTTAGTTGGCCAATTAATTTCTTTCTATTTTTAGTGGAGAAGGTATCTCGCTCTTGCTCAGGCAGGTTTCAAACTCCTGACCTCGAGTGATCCACCTGTCTCAGCCTCCCAGAGTGGTAGGATTATAGGCGTGAACCACCACGTCCTGCCAATATATAGTTTTTGTACATTCTACACTTTATGTTTCCATAATTTTTGGAATATGTATTTAAAACTTGTATTATAACATACAAAAGTATAAATTTGTCAGAAATGTATCTCCATTGTTGTGTTGTTATTTTGGTTTTGCTTTTGTTTTTAAATCTGAACCAAAGTTCTCTTCAGGAAGGCTTTTCAAATGGAATTTATATTTTAAAAATGTGAGTCATAATACCACTGATTCCTTTAAGTTACCATCAAGGACGAAAATGCATTCCAAAGAAAGAAAAATTATTTAAAATTTGAACCCTGATATGGGCAGTTTAGAATCAGTAACTGATTCTTCAAATGATAAAAACATGCAAAATTTAATCTCTGATAAACATTAGGTTTTCTCTACTCCTCGGTTTACATGAGGAGAAATTTTCCCTAAATTCTTCTGGCATTTTCTCCCACCACTTTCTGCTTCCTGTAGAGGAGAGTGAGATACCTGGTTGGTGAGTAACTGCCATTTAACTGGTCCAAGTTTCTTAACTGGGTTGTCTTAATCTAGCAAAGATCTTGAGCAAAACAATTGTCTTTCTTCCTTTGCCTCTCCACTTGGACAAGCACAAGTGGAAGGCAGCAAGCTGGATGGGTGTGCCTGATCTTCCCCCTCAAACCTTCTCTCCATTGGGCTATTCCATGCTCTAGATGGAAGGGTGGGGAGCTAGGTCTTTCCGCTTAGCCTTTATTAATAAAGCTAATAGTTGTTTCTCTGTTTGCCAACTATTTTGTCTATTTATCACATGGCTCTAGATTTGAATAGGGAAAAGAGTTATTGTTTATTGAGTTCCCCAGAGATCTAGAATTAGAGATTACTAATCTCTTTACCTATATTGCCTTGGAAATGCCACCTCCACTTAATTTACAAGATTGTTGCAAGGCTAAACTATGAATTTAAAGAGTCTCATAAATGAAGAGTATTGTCATGATGCTGTAATTTATCTTTTTATCCATTTGTTTTAATATAACCCTTAGAATAAAATTAGGGATGCTGAGATGAGAAAATATGAGAATTCAAATATCTGAGAATTACTGCAAATGCTAAATCAATAAATTTATATTTAGCTTAAAATATTAAAAAAAGAGATCAATGGCTTTTTGAAAAGTTGTACTCTTAAAGTACTGCAAGCAGAAAATAATATTTTGAGAATACAATTTATAAGAATAGTACAAATAGCTTGGAAAATTGGAAAGTAAAAACATCCATACTTGAATCACCTAGACAACTATTAGCATTTTGTGTTTTTCCTCTGTCCCATCTAGATTTTTAAAAAAATAGTTGCATTTTTTTCAACCTAAAATAAGCTGGTATTTTTCTTTAATATAAAATCTTGAGGCCGGGTGCGGTGGCTCACGTGAGCCTGTAATCCTAGCTCTCTGGGAGGCCGAGCCGGGCGGATCGTTTGAGTTCAGGAGTTCGAAACCAACATGAGCAAGAGCGAGACCCCGTCTCTACTATAAACAGAAAGAAATTAATTGGCCAACTAATATATACAGAAAAAAAAAATTAGCCGGGCATGGTGGCACATGCCTGTAGTCCCAGCTACTCAGGAGGCTAAGGCAGTAGGATTGCTTGAGCCCAGAAGTTTGAGGCAGGAGTTTGAGGTTGCTGTGAGCTAGGCTGATGCCATGGCACTCACTCTAGCCTGGGCAATAAAGCGAGACTCTGTCTCAAAAAAAAAATCTTGAATACATAATTTCATCGTGTAAATATCATATAACTTAAATAATTATCTGCTGTGGAACATTTAGACCATTTTTATTCCTTTGCAATTAAAAATAGCCTGTAATACTGTGCTTATAATACATTTTGTTGGTATTTAGTTTCCTGGAGTAAATTGCTAGACCAGGGATAGAAGGTCAAAGAAAAAACAAACAGTCAAAAAAAAAAAAAAAAAAACACCACACATTACCAAACTGCTTCTGCAAAGGGATATTTAGAGTTGGACTACCATTGTAACAAAGAATGCTGTCTCATTCCACTATTGGATGTTTACATTTGTTTTTTAATTGATAACTTACCATTTGGAGATTTGCTTATTTTGTGGTAGAGTATAAAGTCTTTTTATTCAGAATAAAATATTAATTCTCTTGTTCTTGTCATGCCTGCTGAAAATATTTTTCTCAGTTGGTATACTGCACATTAATTTTGTTTATAAAAAACTGATGGTTTAGAATTTAGATGTTTATGTGGGGGGAAAAAATCAGTGGTTTTTTAGTGATGTGGCTTATTGCTTAAGTGACAAGAGTGAGACTCTGTTTCGAAAAGAACCCAAAAAAACTCCAAAATACAAAACAACAACAAAAAAACCAAAACAAAATAAATAATTTTTTTTGACCCAGTAGTACCTTTTTTTAGGTATAGTATGTTTAATAAAGAATAAATATAACAACTTACCAATAGTGGTTGAGAAAAAAGTTCTAGCTGAGCTCTATAAATGATGTCATCAAGAACTTCCTGGCCAAGGTCCCACTGTCCATTATACCTATGGAGAAGCAGATCATTCACTCTTAGGCAAATATGTCTAATCTTCATCATAACTTTTTTTATTGTTCCAAGTCCTACTATTTTGGCTGTGAAAATTTTCATATCAATTTTTACATCATTTCATTTATAAACTATCCCCTTTTACTTATAAGGACAAAATGAAGATTTCAAATATTATGTTTAAAATAGTTTACATATGTTTTTCACATAAATTGGTTTTTATTATGTTCATATTCACACTAAACTATTTAATGCATTCATGAAAACCTGGGTTATGAACTATGTAGATAGAGATACGTAGTTTTCTACACAGAAAACATGACAATATCTACACTCTAATTTTAATGACTAGCTATACTTTGGCTATTTAATTAAAAAGTACTAAAAGGAAACCAAATTAGAAAAACAAGATAACAGGCTGATGACAGAACAAAAGATGCAGTGTTGTGTCTGATAAGGAAGAAAGAGAAATATAAAAAGTTTCCAAACATTTTTCATACAATTTCATGCTCCACCTACTTACATAGCATAATAAACCCCTGTGAGAAGCTGCACCATAAATTCAGGATCCAATACTATTCGACCGCAGAGTTCTTTCCAATGTTTTTCATGTTGCCGTGGAAACCCACTCACACAAACCCTAGGGAAATACGTATTTAACGTGTGTGATTTCTTGATTAATTAAATAAAATAGTTTTTTCTTTCATAAATTCATTTATTCATTCCTCAAATATTTATTGAGTGCCTGTTATGTGCCAGTCACTGTTCTGGGCCTAGGTATTTTATCATGAATAGGTGAAAGTTGAAAAAAAAAAAAAAATCTGTACCCTCATAAACATATATTCTAGTGGACTGTATCCATAAAAGCAACAACTATTCTCAAATAGCTAACCATTTCTTTCACAATCATCTTTCTCCCTCTTCTTACTCATATACACACAAATATACATAACTTTTACTCATATTAAATTGTATCACAGTTAATCACTGGGAAGTATATAAATTTCAAAACAAAGAGACATTTCAAAATACTGTTGTCTGTGAGGCTATCTTTAATTAAAGTACCATAAATAAATCCCTACCTTCCATCTCATTAAGAGATGCTTCCAAAAATGTTATGCTTGATAATTATCCAAAGTTGTAATGTATTTACATTATTTTAATCAATTAACTTATTAGGATAATTATAATGGTGAGTCCAGAAGAAATTTTTTAGTGTTCAGTGCCTATGGTCTCATGAAATTTAAAAATAAAGTTCAATTTAAATATATTTTTTGTAGCAGAAAAGTATATTAGGTGATCAGTAAAGGACTTGCAAGTTGAAAATAGCATTATATTAAGATAAAATTATGTGAGGAAAGTAGACTGGAATTTAAATTCCAAGGAGAAAAAGGAATAATAAAATGTCACACTATTAAAGAGTTTGATCTTTTATTTTTCACCCTCAGAGACAGGGTCTGCCACCTAACCTGTAGTACAATGGCACAATCATAGCTCACTGCAGCCTCAAACTCCTGGTCTTCAAGTGATTCTCCTGCCTGCCTTAGCCTCCTCAGCAGTTGGGACCATAGGCATGTGCCACCATGCCCAGCTAATTTTTAAAGTTTTTATTTTAGAGATGGGGTCTCACTATATTGCCCAGGCTGGTTTCGAACTCCTGACCTCAAGCAATCCACTTGCCTTGGCGAGTACTGAACTCCTGGCATAAGCAATCTTTCTGCCTTGGCCTCCCAAAGTGCTGGGATCACAGGCAGGAGCTACCATACCTGGCCAGAGCTTGTTCATTTATTCCTCAAATGGATGATGGTGGCTATCATATCATTGTATATTTATATTATATACATTTAAAGTAGTGACCCAACAGCTATTTTTCATTGTCTGCATTTACATACTAGAAATTATATAATTTGCAACTATTTAAGATAGAATGGGCCGGGCGCAGTGGCTCACGCCTGTAATCCTAGCACTTTGGGAGGCCAAGGGGAGTGGATTGCTTGAGGTCAGGAGTTCGAAACCAGCCTGAGCAAGAGCGAGACCCTATCTTTACTATAAATAGAAAGAAATTAATTGGCCAACTAATATATATAGAAAAAATTAGCTGGGCATGGTGGCGCATGCCTGTAGTCCCAGCTACTTGGGAGACTGAGGCAGCAGGATTACTTGAGCCCAGGAGTTTGAGGTTGCTGTGAGTTAGGCTGATGCCACTCATTCTAGCCTGGGCAACAAAGCGAGACTCTGTTTCAAAAATAAATAAGATAGAATGAAAAATTTTAAATGTAAACTTAGAAACGTACAAGGGGAACATAGTTTTTTTTCTTTTTAAATGTCATCCTGGCTACAGAGGTACATAGTTTTTCAAACTTCTTTAGAAGATGTGAACAACAATTTGAAGACTACTAAACTCTGCCATCCCTTTCATTATTAAGAAACTATTAAAGGCCACAATGTGCTGCCAATAAGAGAGATGACATTTCTTTTAATAAACCAAAAATAGTCACTTATAAATAAACTTATCTATAGATAGGCATTAAGTGCTTGAATAGCCTCTAGATTAAAGATAGGGACTCTGTTAGCCATTAATCATGTTATTACAGGCAAAAGAAAATAATATACTTATTTTAAGAAAATCTATAAAATCAAAGTTACAGCTAATTTATACTGGCCTTCCCCAATTAACAAAATTAATAAGTTTTGTTATAAACAGGATCATGTTCTCTTCCTAGTAACGCAATAGCATGTGAACTTGAGCAAACCATTTGTGGTAGACAGACTCACAAGGGCAACGATAGCTATGATCCCTCCCCTCTGGTATTCACATCATGTCATCCCTTCCCCTTTGAGTAAGAGTGGGATCTGTAACTGGCTTCTAACCAACAGAATACAGCAAACGTGATAGGATTCCATGATTATGTGCATGTGATGATGTTATATAAAGTAACAGGTCTTGCTGGAGTCTCTCTCATTCTTTCTCTGGTTTTTGAAGAAGCAAGCTGCCATGTTACAGGCTGCCCATGTTGGGAGGTCAATGTATAAGGAGCTGAGGATGGCTTCCAGCAGACAGCTACAAGAAACTGAAGCCCTCAGTCCTAGGACCACAGGAACTGAATTCTGCCAACAAGTGTTGAGCCTCAGATGAGACTGCAACTCCAGCCAACATCTTAACTGTAGCCTTATAAGACCCTAAGCCAGGGGTCCTCAAGCTTTTTAAACAGGGAGCCAGTTCACTGTCCCTCAGACCATTGAAGGGCTGTTGGAGAGTATGGCGCACATTCCACACATGTGCACTGTGGGCCCTGGACAAGTCAGCTGCTAAGCAGGACAGGCAGTGGCATACCCAGTGGGCTGCATGTGGCCCACAGGCCGTAGTTTGAGGACGCCTTGCCCTAAGCAGAAGTCCTCAGCTAAGCTGTGTCCAGATTCCTGATGCACAGAAACTATGAAATAAGTGTATGATATTTTATGCTGCTATATTTGTGGTAATTTGTTATGCAGAAATATAAAACTAATGCAACATTTAACCTTTTTCTGGGCTCAGTTTCCTCAAGTAAAAATCAGCTGAAAAGGATGAACTCAGAATTCCTTTTATAACTGAAATTCTGTCACTCTAAACATCCCTTGTCTCCAAAGTAATTTATATTAAATGTTTTTGATACAGTGGAAATTTCAATTTTAGTCCATGTCTGTCCAAATTATTAGAAATTCTGATTAATAAAGATTATAATCTATGAGACACATAGAACAACCCCCCCAACAGACACACATATGACACACACAGATAATTGGTGCGATTGCTAATCAACTTCTTCAACACAGACAGTTATTTATGAAATATATGGGAAAAAGAGCACATTCCTTAAGACTTTCCCCATATATAAGACTATTCAAAGCTCTCAAAGTGATTTATAAAAACTGGCATCTAGGGTATATCACTAAACAACCCTAAACTTATATGTCCTGGTAGAGCTCCATGTCCAGCTAGAAAATATTTCTTTAATGCTGAAATCATTTTCAAGAAGTCATGAGGATGAGGATTCCTAAAGGAATGGAGCTCCATGAGTTTTGTTCACTGCTGTATCACCAGAAGTTAGAAGAGTGTCTGGCATAGAGAATGTGCTCAATAAATACACAAATATGAAGATTAATAATTACTCTTCTCACCTGGAGCCCATCTGACAAAGAGATTGGTAAGATGAGGCAGGCATATACACAATAGCAGAATTATAACACAGCATGAGAAAACTCAGAACTTCAAACCTAAAAAAAAACACACACGTAAGAGAAAAGGATTACAATTATTTCTAGAGACTATAGTATATGAATTATTCATTGGATGGTTATAACAATGCCTTAATATTGACCTTCATGATTTCTCAGATTCCCACAGCATCCTCCTCAAAAGATTTCTGTTTCTATTCTCATTACAAGTTATATCTCTTGCTGCCTTTTATATTTTCTTCTCTAACAAATAAATCATCATAACTTAAACAGATGGACTTTCAACAAAGTCCATCTTCCTATGACCTCATGATAAAACCCAAACTTACCACAAGGTCCTTTAAAATCCATCCCTCAACCTACCTTTCCAACCTTACTTCCCTCTAATGCCCACCACATTTACCATACTACATGAATCTTATCACTCCACAAATATGCTGTAACCCTTTCATAACTCTTTGCTTTTACACAAGCTGCTCCTTCTTACTAGAATATACTTTTTCACTTGGGTGATTCCTGCTAAAACTTCAAGTCCTGGCTCAAATTTTTACACTAGCCTGGGCATCTACCAAAGGAAAAAAAGACATCTATAAAAAAGACATCTGCACTAGAATGTTTACAGCAGCACATTCACAACTGCAAAGATATGGAAACAATGCAAGTGCCCATCAATACATGAATGGATTACTAAAATGTGGTATATGTATACCATGGAGTACTACTCAACCACAGAAAACAACGGTCATCTAGCACCTCTTGTATTATCCTAGATAGAGCTGGAACCCATTCTACTAAGTGAGGTATCACAAGAATCAAAAAACAAGCACCACATGTATTCACCATCAAATTGATATTAATTGATCAACACTTATGTGCACATATTGTAGCAACAGTCATCAGGTGTCGGGCAGGGAGAAGGTAGAGGTGGGAATGGGTATATTCACACCTAATGGATGTGGTACGCACCATCTGGGAGATGGATACCCTTGTAGCTCTGACTTGGGCAGGGCAAAGGCAATATATGTAGACATTTGTACCCCCGTAATATGCTAAAAAAAAAACCTTTTTTACCTTAGCCATAAGGCCATTCTTATTCTCTCAGCTAAAGTAAACTGGTCCCTTATCTGTGTAGCTCTAATATAGCATTTATCCTACTGAATTGTAATTCTCAGCCTCTAGCTGTTTCACCATTAAAGTAATAAGCAACTTTACAACAGAGACCCGAATTTATTCATCTCTACCACTAATATCCAGTAAACTAATACATTATAATTGCTCAGTAAATATTTATTGAATAAATAAATATATGCTTTTCTAATCTTTATAATCTCTAAGAAAGTGCTCCTAAACCTGGATGCACATTAGTTATTTAAGGACCTTTTCAAAACATACATTTCTGTGTCTTAACCCTGACTGACCCAATTAGAATCTCTGGGGCAAAACTGAGGGAAGTTGTACTTCTAAAAAGCTTCCCATAGATGAATGATGAATGGTATGTGTAAACTCTTTGTACTATTTTTGCAATTTTTAAGTCTGAAATTATTTCAAAATGAAAAGTTAAGGCTGAGTGAGGTGGTGTTAACACTCTGGGAGGCCGAAGAGGTGGGCAGATCGTTTGAGCTCAGGAGTTCAAAACCAGCCTGAACAAGAGCGAGACCCCGTCTCTACTATAAGTAGAAAGAAATTAATTGGCCAATTAATATATATAGAAAAAATTAGCCAGGCATGGTGGTGCATGCCTGTAGTCCTAGCTACTTGGGAGGCTGAGGCAGCAGGATTGCTTGAGCCCAGGAGTTTGAGGTTGCTGTGAGCTAGGCTGATGCCACTGCACTCTAGCCCGGGCAATAGAGTGAGACTCTGACTCAAAAAAAAAGAAAGATCCCAAGATAATATTTAACTGCACACCAGGCAAAGAGGGAAATATGGTCCAGATCAGAGTCAAAAGGCTCCAGGAACCCCTTTTACCAGGAAAATGAAAATGAGAGAATACCTTATATGAATTAAGATCCTGAAAGGAGATTTAGACAATTGATAGAAAATTTGCAGGGGTCAAATTACAAAGCATAATAAACAAAGCAAAAAAAGTTTTAAAAAGGACAATTATGAACTCCAAGGAAAACAAAATTTGTAAAGGAAAGGAAAAGTAATCATAGTTAATCATAAAGCTTAGCAAAGAATATCTTTGAATGAACCATGGTCATTTATACTAATGAAAAATATGAATAATGAGCTTTCCACAATTATAATGTAACTACATTGAGGGATAGGAGGATAGAGGAGAGATAAATTATTAGATAATGGCTAAAACTGAAAAATTAAAAAACAGTAAGATACTAAAAAATGTGGAGGTAAATATCAAAAGAATCAGGTAAAAGCAGGGTTTCTCAACCTGGCCACTATTGGCATTCTGGGCCAGATAAGTCTTGTTGAGGTTATCCTATGCATTGTAGGATGCTGAAGAGCATTCCTGACCTCTACACAATAGATACCTGCAGGAGCTCTTCCCCAACTCAGTTCTCACAACGAAGGAAGTCTCTAGACATTGCTAAATGGTCCACAAGAGACACAACTGTCCAACATAGTTGAGAACCACTAGTTAAAAGTTGTTACATCTGGGAAAGGGGAAATGGAAGGGAGAGGGACCTGGAGATTGCAGTTTTTCTTAATAAACTGTGTAGAATACATATTTAATTTTGGGAAAAATACGTGTATTCCTGATATGGTTGACTATATAAAAAACTAAAAAATACAGCAAAAATAGCACAATGAGATACCACTCTTCTTATACTAAGATGGCTACAATAAAAAAGATGGAAAATAAGCATTGATGAGGATGTGGAAAAACTAGTACTCTCATACAATGCTGGTGGGGAATATAAAACGGCACATCCACTCTGGAAAGCAGTATGATAGCTCTCAAAAAGTTAAATGTTGATTTACCATATGACCCAGCAATTCTACTTCTAGGTATATACTGGAAAAAAATGAAAGTATATGTTCACACAAAAATTTGTAAATGAATGTTCCTAGCTGCTATGGTCTGAATTTTTGTGTCCCTCCCAAATTGATATGTTGAAGCCTAATCCTCAATGTAGTGGTACTGAGAGACAGTGCCTTTGGGAAATTTTAGATCATGAGGGTTCTGCCCCCATTGATTCTATTACTGCCTTTATAAAAGAGGCCTGAGGGAACTTATTCTGCCATGTGAGGACAGAGCTAGAAGGCACCATCTGTGAAGCAGGGATTGTAAGCCCTTACTAGACACTAAATCTGCTGATATCTTGAGCTTGGACCTCCCAACCTCCAGAACTGTAAGCAATACATTTCTGTTGTTTACCACTTAGCCAGTCTAAGGTATTTCATTATAGCAGCACAAACAGGCTAACACAGTAGTTATTCATAATAGCCAAATAGTGGAAATAACCCAAATGTCCATCAATGATGAATGGATAAATAAAAGGTAGTATATCTATACCATGAAATATTATTCCAACATAAAAAAGGAAGTACTAATTAATATATGCCACCAAAAAAACTTGAAAACATGCTAAGTGACAGAAGCCAGACACAAAAGGCTACACGCTGTATGAATCCATGTATACAAAATGTCACAGAGGTAGATAGTCAGTAACTGGTCACTAAGGGTTGGTGGGAAGGAAGAAGTGACTATAATGGCTATAGAGTTTCTTTATGGTATGATAAAAATGTTCTGAAATTAGATAGTGGTGATAGTTGCACAACCTTGTGAATATACTAAAAATCACTCAATTATATTTTAAAGGGGTGAATTTTATAGTACATGCATTATATCCCATTTAAAAAATAAATTTAATACCAACATGATATAAACTTTAAAAAAAAAAGAAAAAATAAATAAATTTAGGCCAGGCGCAGTGGCTCACGCCTGTAATCCTAGCACCCTGGGAGGCCAAGGCAGGCAGATTGCTCCAGGTCAGGCGTTCGAGACCAGCCTGAGCAAGAGCGAGACCCCGTCTCTACTATAAATAGAAAGAAATTAATTGGCCAACTAATATATATAGAAAAAATTAGCCGGGCATGGTGGCACATGCCTGTAGTCCCAGCTACTCAGGAGGCTGAGGCAGAAGGATTGCTTGAGCCCAGGAGTTTGAGGTTGCTGTGAGCTAGGCTGACACCACGGCATTCACTCTAGCCTGGGCAACAAAGCGAGACTCTGTCTCAAAAATAAATAAATAAATAAATAAATTTAAACCCAACAATTAACTGAAAATGTGTAATGTAAACCACAGTGCCATTTCCTCAATATTCAAAAAGCTATTGCAAATCACTGGAAAAAATCACACAGCTCAATAAGAAAACTGGACACAGAACATGAATACGAACTGTCTAGTAAGGGCTTACAATCTATGCTTCACAGGTAAAGAAAAACAATGAATAAATTAACATATTAAAAGCACTCAAGCCTAGTCACAATTACCTGAATGTAAAATAAAACAACATTGACACCAGTTTTTAACTATCAGATTGGCAAAGATTAAAAAGTCTGAATATACCCAATACTGGGAGTTAACAGGAGAAAATAGATACTCAAACTACTAGTAGGACGTTCAATTGATACAGTTGTTTCGGGGAGGATAATTTGGCAATATCTACTCAAAATGAAAAATCAGACATTCTTTAGCATAACAGAGTCACTGCTAGCAATGAATTTATCCTCTAGATATTTTTGTGCTCTGATGCAAATAGATATACAAAAGAAAAGTGTTCCTTGCAATATTGTTTATAGTAGCAAAAAGGGAAAATCTAAATTTACTCACTATAAGAATGGCTAAAAATTGATGGTACATATATAAAGTGGAATAATAAGTAGTCATTTAAAAATGAGCAAATCTCTATGTGCTGCTAGAGAAAGAAATCTAAGATTTTTTCTTTAATGAAAAAAGCAAATTGTAAAATATATATAATGCAACTGAATCCCATGTATATGGGCCTGCATGGGTTTAAGGTTCAATATATACTTCTGCATTCATTAAAACATTCTATAAGGAAATATAAAAAAT